GCTGTACGTGAACGCCTATTCAGGCCGACACGAGGCACGCGTAATCGCAACAACGACGACGACAATAGCCGCCATTCGCTGCTAACTGGCGGTGACGTCGCCACGTGAGCTTCAAGAGGGTCGCGGGACAGAGACCCTCCAAGAGCTGTGAGTTGACCGCCCGAGATGACCGTCAGATGCTTCCACCTGTGGCACCTCCACCGCTGTGCCTATCCTTCCTACAAAGGAAAAATGGGGGTGGGGGGGTGGGTGGCATCGCTACATCCTCCGTTCATTGTCGCCTGCACGGCGCATTGCACGTGAACGCTCCTTCCTGCGTGCGGCGTTCGCCACGGCTGCGCACGCGCGCACAAAGTAGTGTGTGACATCCGTTCTTCTGTGCACGCGTGGACGGATGGCTTCCCGATAGGCGACGTGCAGTGATTGTGTAACCCGGCGCCGGCACAATGCTTCTCCTTTCACCGCCAGGAACTATTCGACGCAGTGCGGTCCGCCTATTCAGGTTGCCTTGCCTTTTGTCGGATTGCACGCGTGCACAGATTTGTTGGTGCTCGTGTGCCGGCAAGCGTCGAGAGTTCCAGCGTGGTTTGTCCGCTGCTGGATGACAGCCTTCATTCCCAGCTCACGCTTTTCTTACCGCGATTCCACGATGCAGCGATCCACCGCAGAACTCCCCCCCCCTCCCTCCCCCTGACCCCATCTGCAAGCAAGGGGGATGCTCTCGGGATGCCGTGCGTTCCCTGGCCCGCCCGCTGCGGCGTCCGTTCCGGTGCCGCGACGCGTCCTGCCAGAGAGGCCCTGCTCACTTTTTTCTCTCTCTCTTGTCTCGCAACGTAGTCCCAAGCCTGCAACCAATCCCCATGCTTAATGTGACGGGGGTGGGGAGGGTTAGGTGGGCCGTTTGCATTGTCGCGGAGAACACTTGGCTGTCTGGCTCACTGGTTCGCTGGCTTGCTGGCTCGTTGGCTCGCTGGCTCGCTGGCTCCCTCGTGCCTCCTTTTAAAGCGACCGAGCTGCCGGGCCGCGGTGGACTGCCGAGCCAGGCCCGGGAACAGCGAAGGCCCTTCGTGGTGAATGGCGGTTGTTGTTCTTGTTGGGCAAAATCCTTCATTGGCCGCATTTTATATTTATACATTTTTTACCGCCCTCCCCAGTCCTGGCCACATCTGCGTTTTTAGAAAATGAAAAATGTTGCCTGTGGGATATATTAAATGCAATTGGAGTTGCTTTATTGATCTTTCCACTTATGAGTTTCTGTCTCTCAATTTTTTTGTTTGCCCTGAAGGGTCAAGTATTTCCAGAGAAAGCTGTTTGTGAAAATCTGGTTTTGCCACTTGCGAAATCCCCCCCCCTCCCCCCGCTTGCGTAAAACAATGCTCACATCCCCCCCCCCCACCGATTGTTGAGCCGAGGAGTCGCAGAGATGGTTCGGCTCGTGCGGCCGCCCCTGTTAATACCGCGCGCGGTCTGTGGCCTTCTTCAAGGTTCCCGTGACGTCATTCGCAAGCGCAAGGGGGCATCGTGTAGCTGGTGGCGGGGGGCTGCAGGGGGAGAGTTGTCATCTCGGGGGGGGGGTCACAGTTCAAATTGTGTCGTATTGGGAAAAATGATACCGCACATTACTCGCTTGGGATTATATAACTCTATATATCTAGCGGTGGTCGCTCACCTACTCCGAACACTTGGCAGGACCCTCCTGAAAGGAGGGTCTTGAGACCCGGTGTGGTTCTTCTGTGGAAATAAGCGGAATGATAATCTTAAAAAATACCAAAAATCTTTATTTAAATTATTTGAAATTGTGTTGACATTGTGGTACTGATGGGCGACAATGTGAAGCATTTCACCGAGCAGCGCTTATGATAATAATAACAACAACAGGATATTAACCTGGCTTATTCAGCAACCAGCACTGGTGAAGTATGGTCAACTAATCCCCATAATCGATTGCAGTGTTGGAAAGTCCCTATCCGGCAGTAGAATATGGCAGAGGGTTGTGTATCCTGTTATCTAATGTTAATATATAATGTTACGTAATATATATTGTGAAGATAATTGCAGGTTATATAAACCCAGAGCTGTCAACCCATGCGGTTTAACCCCGTATTCTTGTACAGGAAGGAAATTGAGTGTCCAGGGCCATACGGCGAACAGCCGCGTCAACACGGGAAACAAAAAAATAATGATACGGCCAAATAAAAAAAGTTGTGGGACGGATTTTTTTTTTTACACTCTGGAGAGTAGCGATCCCCGTAGCAGCTGACAAATTTAATCTGAAATTAAGATGCTCTCGGTACAGATTGTACGCACAAGCTACATCTCCAAATCCGGTTTTCCAAACACAAGCCACACTACAGCACAGCGACAAGCGTTACCTCCTGCAGCGAAGTTAGCGATGCCTTGGTGCGTTTACAACATGAGTGTGTGCGTTTACAACATGAGTGTGCGTCCACATCAAGCAGGCGGCAGCATCCGCATACAGGGTCACAGAGGGTAGCGTAATAATCGGCTCGTTGACACCACTTGTCAAAATGAATACGTAAAATGTTTTTTTGTTTAGTAACGTAATTTTCGTCTTTGTGTTTCTCCCTTGTGATGGGACTTTTTAGGATGAACATTCAGATTTATAAGGGCACTGGGTGACCAATAAGGTCTGAATTGGTCTGTAATGGGGAAGGCACTAATAAGTGGTTGCCAGGTATGTAAACCAGAGCCTGGGAAATGCAAGAAGTTAGTGGATAATGGGCGAGTGCGATTGCGAACCTGTTCGCGCGGATTCGTTTCTGTTTGTGCGGTTGGGTTATCTCCGTTTTTCTCCCGCACGGAGCCAATTTATTTATCGTGGGCGGCATCTTCGTGGTGCATTCTACCCACCCGTGTCCCACTGGCAGGGGGGACACCCTTACCGTAAGAGAGTCTACTGAGAGCTCTGTAGAACCACGTCAGAAATGGCACCTCGGCCCAACTCTTTCACACCAACCCAATATGATCTCGGGAGAGGTGGACGTACCCACATTTCACCCCACCGCCGACACGGACCCTGGTGATGGACCGAGCGAACGTGTACGGGCACTTGGCTGATTAATGCAGGACGCTCATAACGACGAGTCATGAGACTCAGCGATGCTTTCCCGAATAAAAAAAATGGCGTTATTATTATAATTTAGTTAGTGTTTGCTATGGGGGGTGGGGGGGTGGCGTTGCAAATGGAATACTTTATATGGTCGCACTCATTACACACAAAGTGCTTGCCATAAATGAACCACAATACCTTACTGATCTCGTTAAGGAGCATAAACCATCATCACTCGAACTGCAGTCACCCTCGCAGCGACTTTTGGCTAGCCTGTCGAACGAAGATGGTCGCCGCATCCTGCGCTTTCAGATGCGCGCTTCTGCGGCCGTCTGGAACCATCCTTCCGATATTAGGAAACCACTGGGGCTATGCAGTTTTAAATCGTCGATTGAAAATTCATTTCTTTTATAAATGCTTTTTGCGTTTCGTTTGTTGTCCTTCCCCCGCGCCTCCTATGAGCACGGCTGGCTTCGTACAGTGCGAAAATAAGTTTGACATACATGCATACATACAAATACAACCGGTCAACCGACTTGACTGAGCGATGCCATCTGCCCATGGGGACCATCATAAGACCTGCGCTCATTCATGCCAATAGCAACCCACAACGCTCTACATAAATTATGTGTAAGGACCAGATCCCATATACGCGGTGCGAAATAAGTTCGACGTACATACATATGTTACGGCTATACGAATGGTAACTTCGTTTTTGTGGCATCGGGCTGGGACTGAGTGAGCGAGTGGTGTGTTCCGTGTTCGCTGGCACGGTGTGTAAGCAGTTCACCGTATATACATACATACGTACGTTAAGGCTTTGTGGCATCGGGCTGGGACTGAGTGAGCGAGTGGTGTGTTCCGTGTTCGCTGGCACGGTGTGTAAGCAGTTCACCGTATATACATACATACGTACATTAAGGCTTTGTGGCATCGGGCTGGGACTGAGCGAGCGAGTGGTGTGTTCCGTGTTCGCTGGCACGGTGTGTAAGCAGTTCACCGTATATACATACATACGTACGTTAAGGCTTTGTGGCATCGGGCTGGGACTGAGCGAGCGAGTGGTGTGTTCCGTGTTCGCTGACACGGTGTGAAAGCAGTTCACCGTATATACATACATACGTACATTAAGGCTTTGTGGCATCGGGCTGGGACTGAGCGAGCGAGTGGTGTGTTCCGTGTTCGCTGACACGGTGTGAAAGCAGTTCACCGTATATACATACATACGTACGTTAAAGCTTTGTGGCATCGGGCTGGGACTGAGTGAGCGAGTGGTGTGTTCCGTGTTCGCTGGCACGGTGTGTAAGCAGTTCACCGTATATACATACATACGTACATTAAGGCTTTGTGGCATCGGGCTGGGACTGAGTGAGTGAGTGGTGTGTTCCGTGTTCGCTGACACGGTGTGAAAGCAGTTCACCGTATATACATACATACATACGTACGTTAAAGCTTTGTGGCATCGGGCTGGGACTGAGCGAGCGAGTGGTGTGTTCCGTGTTCGCTGGCACGGTGTGTAAGCAGTTCACCGTATATACATACATACGTACATTAAGGCTTTGTGGCATCGGGCTGGGACTGAGTGAGTGAGTGGTGTGTTCCGTGTTCGCTGGCACGGTGTGTAAGCAGTTCACCGTATATACATACATACGTACATTAAGGCTTTGTGGCATCGGGCTGGGACTGAGCGAGCGAGTGGTGTGTTCCGTGTTCGCTGGCACGGTGTGTAAGCAGTTCATCGTATATACATACATACGTACATTAAGGCTTTGTGGCATCGGGCTGGGACTGAGCGAGCGAGTGGTGTGTTCCGTGTTCGCTGGCACGGTGTGAAAGCAGTTCACCGTACATACATACGTACGTTAAGGCTTCGTGGCATCGGGCTGGGACTGAGCGAACGAGCGGTGCGTTCCGTGTTCGCTGGCGGTAGGTGCGCCCGCGGGACATCGTGCGGATCGTGCGCGGGCGGCTGGAGGAGCGGGGCATCGCGGTGCGCGACGTGCGCCTCAACGGCTCAGCCGCCAGCCATGTGCTCCACCACGACAGCGGCCTCAGCTACAAGGACCTGGACCTCATCTTCGGCGTGAGCCTCACGGGGGAAGCCGAGTTCCAGCTCGTCAAGGTGCACGTCACGCCACGTCACCCCCCACCACCACCCCGGCAGTGATGCGGCGATCCGTTGTGTTTCCCCGTCGCACGCATGTGATTGAATTTTTTCTTCCCACGTGCTCCTCCCACACATATAACGCTGATTAATTGGCCCGATACCAACTCAATATGTTGAGGAGCGCAGAGCTTGGGCAGTTGTTAGTAGCGCCTGCTCGGCATCGCATCACTGCTGCTGCCTTCCCGCTCATCGGTATCAGCCCCTCTCTCTTTCTCGCTACGAGAGCGAGTTGGGATACTGTGCAGCAGTGGTGCGTTACAAGTTGACTCTTGATATTAAGACCATTCTCCACGTGTGCACCTGTGTCTGTGTGCCATTGTGTATGTGCTGCAGCCCGTTATTATTTTGTAATTAATGGATTAATTAAAAACACATTTTCGTTGTTGCAAGTCTATTTAATCCAGCAGTCATTATGGGGCCCGCTATGCATCGTTACACCCCAGTGCCCTTGCCTCTTCCGTGTTTTGATGAGAGTGCCAGACTAACGCTACCACTGTACCCTCCCCTACCCACCACATGCACTACCACCACCACCACCTTCATCATCACTAACAATACCACCACCATCGCCACCACCTGCAAACCTTGTCCACCACCACTATTCTAACATTCGCCGTCAATTATCACCACCTCTATTAACATCGCTACCACCACCGCCACCTTCATCACCACCATCAACCACCGCAACCAACCTGACCCACCACCACCACCAAAACGCCTACCGCCCCCCCCCCCCGTCTACCGTCGCCGCCTCCGCCGTGCACAGGAAGTGGTCCTGGACTGCCTGTTGGACTTCCTGCCCGAGGGCGTGAGCAAGGAGAAGATCGGGCCGCAGACGCTGAAAGAGGCGTACGTCCAGAAGATGGTGAAGGTGTGCAACGACACGGACCGCTGGAGCCTCATCTCGCTCTCCAACAATAGCGGCAAGAACGTGGAGCTCAAGTTCGTCGACTCGCTGCGGCGGCAGTTCGAGTTCAGCGTCGACTCGTTCCAGATCGTCCTCGACTCGCTGCTGCTCTTCTACGAATGCTCCGAGCACGCCATGTCGGAGCGCTTCCACCCGAGCGTGCTCGGCGAGAGCATGTACGGCGACTTCGGCGAGGCGCTGGAGCACCTGCGCGGCAGGCTCATCGCCACACGCAACCCCGAGGAGATCCGAGGTGCGCGCTCGTGTCTGCGTGTGTGCGCGTGTCTGCGTGTGTGCATACGCACACGTGGGTTGTGGTAGTGTAGCGTTTGGCGCGTCGTGCTACCAACCCGGAAATCTCTGCTCGCGGCCGATGCCAGTGACGATTATCTGAACTGGGCCTGGGCCTCCCCTAGGTCGTCTCGGCCTCAAATGAGTACCTGGTGCGGTGTGTGAATATCGCCACTGGGGAGACAGGCGGCCAGGTATCATTTTGGCAGCACCACCAACCCCGTGTGCCATCCCGGCCTTCATAGTTGTTTGCTAATGGCACTTGCCCCGAACGTGCTTGCGAAGTGTATACAGCGGGGTGAGTGGGTTCCTGTTTGTGCGCGCGTACATCTGTGCCCGCGTGCCTGCGTGCGTTCACGCATGAGCACCGTGCGATCCACAACGCTGCCTGGCCCCGAGCCTAGCGATAAACAATGTAGGCCGCGACCTCGTCATTAATAACGCTGCTCCTGCTCCAACCAAGCCGTGTCGAGTTTGTCCGACCACCACCGCCAGCGAAAACCGCACGGGGTTGGTGGGCGAGGGGAGGAGGGAGTCCCCCCCCCCCCCCCCCCCCCCCCCCGGCGTCACTACGCCATTAGTTTCCTCCGAGCTCTCTGCGTCACGCTGGCCCACGTGCGCGCGTTTGTCCACGCATCGTCCACGCGGCGACGCGTTGGAGTCAACGGCGGCGCTCTGGTTTCTAACTCTGGACAAACGAAGCGGTTAGCCCCGCGGGGAACATTGAGGGGCGCGTGCGACCGCCCCCCCCATCGTTGACTGGACATCTGTGAACCTTGGCTGGACAGAAGGTCTAGTCAACGGGGCTAACGGCGGCTGTAAGTTCACAGATTTCCAGCCAAAACAACTATTTAAACTGTGTTTTTTATTTTACCAGGTTATCAGGCCCACTGAGCTGTATAGCTCTTTTTCAGATGCCACCTGGTCACAAAGGATAGCTTATCATGTGGAAACGTATAGAAGCCATATACTATAAAACGCCCATTGATTCTAAATGTGGAGGGCCCGGAGAAAAATGTACAAGTCATTTTGGATCTAACCTTGAACCTCCTGTATACCAGGTGAGGGAATGAACATCTCGCCACCGTGGCACCGACTGGACATCTGTGAAAGAGAGCTTCGCAGCTAACCGGATTCCTTCATAATAAATAAATAGTCTGTTTCCGAGTGACGCCACCCATCGGAGTGAGCGGGTTGGCCCAAGCCCTAGGCTCAATGAGGGATGAGTGTGCTGGGGGGGGGGGGGGGTGTAGTTGACTCGGTACGAATTCGCGTTGGAATTTTCACCGTGATTTTTATATTTACAATAAACCCATATTTATTCGACACACATGGGGCTCTGGTCTTGCCGAATTATCCAATATTCCGAACTATTTACAATCGTACTCCCCAGTGCCTTCTGCCCCAATAAAAAAAAAAATCCAAATTTGTTTTCCAAACTCTTCACACACCCTGCATCAATTCTATCCAAAACTTTGGATTTGTCTCGCAGACTAAGGGATTTATACTTCAGACCCCTTCCATTTATTCTTGATGTAGGCTTAGAGGATTGCCTTGCACAGTGTGCATAAGCAAAGTAAAGTCCATAGCAACAGGGTCTGCTCTAACGCTCACCACGCGCGCTGCCACTAGACTGAGTCGTCGTTTTGGCCGTGGTGCACAGCGTTGCTCCGCGTGTATGCAGAAATTGGACAGTTCGTTCAGGGAAAATTCGGCTTGTCACCAATAATAGACAGTATATGCCGAAAATGCAGCCGTGCCGAATTATCCCCAATTACGAATGATCAAATTAGCGAAATAACGAGGTTTTGCTGTACATGCTGCACACGTGTGTGCCGCCTACGTTACGGCCTTGAGTTATAATGGTCGTGGTGATTCGCTGTTAGATGTTTTTGTATGTCCGATGGCGATTTTTTTGTAGGTCTTTTTTGCGCGCGACAGAAGTTCAACATCATACGAAAATCGGTGCGCAGCTGAAGCATTAGTCGATTGGCATGTTTGTTAAACTTTATTAATCTGCTGTGTCGGTCGTAGGAGGGTTTACGATACCCACGCCCGACCGCCTTTTGTTTTCTCTCCATTCGCGATGTTTACAAACCACATGAGGTACTCTGTTGAGGCAGAGTTGATCTAGCCGGAGGCCTGGGACGGCTTCGGATAATCGTCACTGGTGTCGGCCGTGAGCGGGAATCGAACTCGGGTGGCGTGCCGGGTTCGGAGCGCAAATTGAGTTGGCCCTCCTGAATAACAAATCTTGCGGCTCCGTGAGGCCCTGCTGGGTAAATTCGGCGTTAATGGTAACAGACTTGCCGACCTTACTACGAGGCGTCGGGGAAATAAGCCGCGCTTCGGGAATCTGCCCGCCCTTCGAATGCTGACGTCCGCGCCTCGCTCCTCCGGCCAACGCAGGCCGCCCGCGTTCGTTGTCCCACCGGGGGTGGGGGGGGACACTTGTGGGCGATGCAGTGCCCGCGACGTTGTGACCTCAGACGACGTCTGGGCGAAGAGAGGAGCGCGGTTCGCTCCCTGCATTGTTGTTGCTTATCTTTTATTGTTGTTAGCGGCGAGCTGCTGTCCGCCCTCCGACCCCCACCACCGCCACTGCCGCGATCCGGTCGTCTGTATGAAAGAGTGCTTTGTAGCTCATCGGATTCCTGCAGTACAAATACAAATTCTGATTCTGATTCGGCAGTAGTGGCGCTAAGTTCAAGCAGCCCCCACCGTGTGCGGCGTTTTCCACGGCCGTCGGATGTCGGTCTGTGCCGTGCCAGTCCTGGAACGGCCCCTTGCCGCTCCTGCGTTCAAATCCCCCACGGCGAGAGGGAATCGACCGTAGTACATTTTTAACGAGTTTAAAAGTACGCTTGGGTCGGATTGCGCTGTCCCAAGGTGTATCATCTTTTATGTCGTAATAATCAAAAACGCAGCCCAGGTGTTGACTGCGGCGTTAGATGATGACGACGATGATGAGAATCCCGACGATGATGACGACGAGCACATCGTTCCTCGTGACATCGCCTATCTGCTACCGATCGACGGCTTGATATTTAAGCCCCAGCCACTCGGACTGCAAACGGAGAGCCATGCGTGTTAGTGCGGTGCCAAGGACCAGCGCGTGAACAGGCGTTGAGCCCCCCCCCCTCTCCCCCCGGTTCACTCCGAGTGGTCGTCTGATGGATGCGACGTTGAGAGTATCCACATCGCTCATCATGCTGCGGCGAGCGGGGAGCAGGGAGCCAGCAAGCGGCACCTGCGAGGACTGTAGCCTCACAAAGTTTGGTTCGTTCCACTGGAATAGTCCTGTATTTGGGAAATTTCGTATGGAAATAAATTCTTTTCGATTTCAGAAAAGTCCACGTGGGCAGCTGACTTGGCCATCCGTCTGTCGCTGCTGCGTCGGTTTTCACGGTCGCGCTGTTCCGTTACAGTCACGATGCGTTTTCGATGTCCGACGTTTCTCTGCATATGCTTGTAAACATAACGTGGACTGGTGGAACATTGTGGTTGGGGGGCTAGGTGGCAGCTATCACCCCCCCCTGCCAGCCCCAATTTTCTGAATAGGGGTAAGCAATTGACTCTAACCCCCAACTAGTATTGATTGGCAGTGCGTCTTATCAGCAAGCAAACCGTGGAACCATTTGATACATTTGTAGTCTCGTCAGCAGCAGAGTCGGTTGTTGCTTGAACCAACCAACTCTGACATTTCTGAAGCGTCCTTCTTCCCAACGTCCCGGCTGTGGGTCCACATAATTCTGTGTGGCGGGTGGGGGAGGGGGGGGGTAGTGGGAGGGGGGTGAGGGGACGTTAGGGGTAGGGGGGGAAGGCGGTCGTCGCCAAGTTGGGAGTGAGGGAGGGGAGTGGGCGAAGACGCCGACAGACATCTGGGCCCGACATTAGCGCTCGCGTTCTCACAAGGCGGCTTGTGTCCGCCCAACGTTATTATCTTATCGAGGCTAAGGAGTTTTCAAGGTCTCCCCCACCCCTTTTCCTTATGAATCGTTTAGTTGTTTGGGCCGCTTGTCAAAGCGACGGCGTTTGTCCGACGCCAAACGGTCGTTTTCGAAATCCGGACGCGGATTCGGGGTCGGGCACTCCGCTTCGGGGCGGGGATTCTCGACTACACCGGCGGGGGGGGGGGGGAACTATCCGGATCGCGACCCTTGTACGACCGTGCATGTTCTCTTCCCCCCCCCCCCACCCCCCTTTTCCCTCCCCACGGGTGTCAGAGAAACGCACTCGCAGCACCGAGTCTGTCTGGACGCCGCTCGGCAGGAAGCGGAGAGGGCTGCTATTTTATTAATGGCAACGTCTGAAGGAGATAAATTGGTCGAAATGTTTTTGTTGGGGCTGAGCGAGCGCGCACGTGTGCGTCTGGTTGTGCCGAGCCGGCCGAGCGAGCGCAAGGGGGGGGGAACGTGCATTTTGAGTATCGGCGGGAAAAAAAAAAAAACGCTTGTGGTTCTAAAAAAAGATATGAAGAAAAATAATTAAATATCGTTTTTTTTTTTGCCCTCATACGCGTGAACCGGAGGTTGCTCGAAGGATTCGCCGAGCGGTAGTTCTGCGATATCCGCTTCTCGAACGCGAAAGGGTCGCGCAGTTGCTCCGTGAATAAGTTGGGGATTGATGACGAAGTTAAGTTACGAACAATTAAAATATTTTGCCCCCCTTCGTCAAACGGTGATCTCCGGGTGACCCTGACGACCCTAATTTGAAACTCGCTTTTAATTATCGGCCCGGTTACGTCGGCGATGAGACCATTGGCGTCCGTTGTTTAACCGTTCGCTCAAGCCTGATTTTAACAAGAAATATTTACGCGTAGTCGGGGGCGCTGCTGTTGCGACCTGCTTACTCTGGCAAGCACTTTGCACGCAACACAAAACACGCGCGAACGTTGTCCGCGTTGATTGCGTAGAGCAGTTTGAATATTTATATCACGGTTATGTAAGCACGCTTTTTTTGTTTTGTTAATACGGCATCATCACTCGCGCACGCCCGGAATTCGTAACTCGTACGGATTCCTCGCGTGGGGGGTGGGGTTGGGCGGTGGGCGTTAAGGCAGCCAGAACCAAGAAGCACCGACAATTTTCTTCCAAACTCCAGTCCTAGAGTCCTACATCGCGACGTTTTTCTTTCTTTCTACCGCCGCTCACAAAACCCACTCGTTGCCCTTTGTCCCCTCCGCTCCCCCCCCTCCCCTCTTTGTTCAGGCGGCGGCCTCCTCAAGTACTGCAACCTGCTGGTGCGCGACTTCCAGCCGGCGTGCGAGCAGGAGATCAAGACCCTGGAGAGATACATGTGCTCGCGCTTTTTCATCGACTTCCCCGACATCTCGGAGCAGGAGCGCAAGCTCGAGTCGTACCTGCAGAACCACTTCCTGGGCGAGGAGGGCAGCAAGTACGACTACCTGCTCACGCTGTGGGGCGTGGTGAACGAGAGCACCGTCTGCCTGATGGGGCACGAGCGCCGGCTCACCCTGGGCCTCATCACGTCGATGGCCTTCCGCGTCCTCGCCGAGCAGAACGTCATCCCCAACACGGCCAACGTCACCTGCTACTACCAGCCGGCGCCCTACGCCAGCGACTTTAACTTCAGCGGCTACTACCTGCCGCCGCCGCCGCAGCACGCGCTCGCCTACGTGCCGTCGTACCACCAGCACCACCACCAGCAGCAGCACCACCAGCACCAGCAGCACCAGCAGCACCACCACCAGCAGACGTGGCTGCCCTGCAGCTAACGCAGCCGGCGATGCCCCCACCGTGATGCCCGCCCACCTGCCCGCCCGTCTGCCCCGCCAACCTCGCTGATTGATGACGGACCGCAGCAATTACCCCCCCCTCCCTTCCTCCCCCAGGACCAATGCCGTGATACCACGCGGTCTTTTATTTTATTTTCGATTTTCCTTCCCCTTGCCTACCCCGCCCCCCCCCCCCCGATTTCCTGATTCTACACCCCCCCCAACCCCCCTCCTCCACTGCCACTCCATAGGTGCCTGTGCAACAAGCTGCTGTCTCTCCGCGCCGTGTTTGTGGTGGTCGTTGCTGTTGGTTTCTCTCTTCCATTTTACGTCTCTCGGTAAGACGGGCAAAGCAGCAGCAGCAGAGGCGGCAGCGGCATTAAGAACTGTGCGCGTTTGGCAGCACGAGCCCCCCCCCCACTCCCCTTCATTGAACCGAGATTGCAGAACTGCATGCACGGAGACTTGCACGCCCACACACACGCAAATGAGTGAAGAGTGACGAAGAGGAGGTTGAGCAAGAGAAGATACTGGGTGGTTTTGCCCGCCGCGCTGCTTTCCACGTGTGTACATATGTAATCCAAGGCTCGCGACGCTTGTGCCAGAAAAACTTCCGCGGGCAAGTTGCGGACGTTAACCGTTTAGCGCTGGTGGAAGTAAAAAAAAAAACTAAACTAAAACACACAAAAAAATGGAACTCGAGACTTACACGCAAGATGTTTTGCGACCTCTCTTCGGGGGAACTCTCCCGACGGGAAGAAATTATACGCGCAAAGAAGATGAAGAAGAAGAAGAAAATACAACAACAAAAAAACCGGGACACGCGTTGTGAACGGGGAAAAAAATTTCATAAAAATTTTAATAAACGCTAAAAAAAATAAAAAAACCCCAAGAGAAAAAGACTGAAAAGGAAAATATTGGCGGGGCAGCCGTGCGTGGCGAGCGCGACTGCCTGTCGCAGGTTGACTGCTAACGCGTCGTCTAGCTGATTAACCACAAAAAAAATATTACCGATTTACAAAGCGCTATATTTTTTGGGGGTGGGGGGCCGGGTCCGCATTTAAAACACGAGCCCAACGTGGACACCCGACGCTTCCAGAGTTACGTAGGGGCACGCGCGCGTGGGGTGAAATGGGGAAAGCAAGAGCGAGCGAACGCCCCGGGGATGCCACTGATTTTTTTTTTAACACCCCCCCTCCCCCCACATCGCGCGACGGTCAACCTTCACGCCGCGGGGCAAACCGAAATAATTCCTCCCCCAACTGCACGCAACGAAACGAGTGACAACGGGACGCCTCCCACCCACCCCCTTCCCCGTGTCCCTCCGTGCTTGGCCTGTGACCACTGCCGACCCAACCGTGGCACGTACACCGCTTTCTCGGCCTCGTCTGATGCCAAGCCCGGTGACGGAACGGACGCGTTTATCAACTCTCTGCGTCGCCGCGCGGTGCGTTCGGTCGCTGGGCACGCAGGGACATGTGGGACAAGAGTCCGTGCCTTCCCGCTGTTTGCGAGCAGCCGTGTGCGTGGGTTAGTCCGAGAGCCCGGACCAGAAGTTTCACTTTTGTCGGTAGCAGCTGAGGTGGCGTCACTTTAGCGGTTCCACGTTCTTTACGCGGCCAATTACGCGATCGCCATTCCATTTCAAGCGTGCGAGTGGGTTATCGAGTTCATTTAACTCTCGTTAGCCTACATAAATAACTCCGTATGGACTTAACTAGAGTGCTGCCACCTTAGCCAGTACAAATTTCTACTCTGGCCCGTGACACCGAATGATGTCGTCATTTCTGCGCGTTTTCCAGCCTGCTTTTTGTCGCGTTTTTCCTGGCACGGGCGTTCTCTGCAAAGTCCATTTGCGTTCGACCGCAACGTTTCCTTGCAACGCCTTCGGTGGGGCAGGTGGGGCAGGACCGTGTGTGTCGGTGCGTCCGTTTGCGGCGGTGCCATCGTCTCGCCAGCGCTACCGGCAGCGCCGACGCCGCTACCGCCCGTAGCTGCGGTTTGAGTGCCGTTAAAGGGATGCATACAAATTGACTCTCATCTGTGCAATTTTGAAACTCTTTGAATCTTTAGTTTGCACTTGTTTTCGGAGTTGGGAGATCGAATCCCAACATAGTGTTTTCCCCCATTCTCCCCCCTACACCTTCCCTTTCATTTGTTATTGTCGCTTGTTGTTGTTTTTTGCGTAATTGTGTTCTCTTAGGTAATTTACACAAGTGCTTGCGTTGAACGTGTACGGTATGCCGTTGGTTTTTGAGTAGCTGAGCGACTCGAAGCCGTAACTGGAGGGTGAGGGGGAAGGCCGAGGTTGGATGTATCCATGCCCCCTTCCCCCCCCCCCCATTGGCACATCTCAGAGCCGTGCTGGGGCCAGGCTTGCGCCACTCGGGAGAGGCTCCAGACCCTGCGTCCCGAGTCCAATTCAAATATCACGACGGTGCATGCACGTGTCGCAGTTTGGTTTCCGGGCTCGGCTTGGCCAGTAACCATTCGTGCTGGCTTGGCTCTGATGTTCCAGTGGGGGTGGGGGAGGGGAGAGGGATCAAGATGTGTGGCAGAGAATGAGACCTAAAATGAAGGTGGCAATTTTTAAGGAACAGCAAAGTTGGCCATGGAATTGTTTCGGGTTTTTCCAATCCCCCGCGTGGTTGGGTCAAATGAGTGGACAACCGTTGCCAAACCTCGCCTAGAGTTCCACCGCAGGAAAAATCGCAGAATCTCTCAAAATGATCCAGTTAAAAAGTCTTACTCCCTCACGCGCTCACCCCCAGAAGTGTTCAGATCCTTCCATGTTTGAGAGGGAAAGATCAATTGCAATCCATTATACTTTTTTTTGCGAGTGATATTTACCGTGCAATTTAGCGTTAAGACGAGAGAAAAAAAGCCCTACATAGATACAGTATAAATATATGTTTACAAAACAAATCGCGTCCAGGTTCTATCAATCGGGAGTAAAACAGGTCCGAAGAGATGATGACCATGACGACGATAATGATGGTGGTGGTGGTGATGCCCATGATTTATTGTGAGTAGGGACGAAAAATTGGACTTTGAGAAAATGTTGACGGGAGCGCGGTGCATCTTGGGAAGAGACGATGGCTGTAGGGCACCGCTGCTGGATGGTTCTGTCAACGCTGTCAAAAAGAATAAAATAAAACCATCGCGGGGTCAAACGTCAAACGGGATGTAACGATGCACCGATTTGGTCGCGTTTTTTCGTAACGTTTTTTTTGAGTTCGCAAATTCGTGCGTGCGTGGGAACCTGATGTTGCAGCCGCCCCGAACTCGTCGCCACTACGAAATTGAGCTTTGCGTGACCCCCTGCCCAGCCACTTGGGGCCCACTACAAAACTCACGATGTTCAGGACTTGAGCGAATCGCGACGAACGATCGAATCGCGGTTTCTGACCGCTGGTGGTGGCATCAGTGGTGGCATCGGTGGTGGCGCTGGTGGTGGCACTGGTGGTGGCGGGTACTGGTGGTGTGCGGCTCGTAAACTTGCCATGCGCAGCACTTGAGGTGCTACAATACTTTTGGGCATTATGTTTATGATGATGTTGTTTTAGATTTTATTTTAAACTTAGCCTAAGGTGGGGATTTTCTTTTTTAAAAAATATATACGCGGGGAAAAAAATTATAGAGGAAGGGCAAAAAAAAATATCCGTGCTGCCGATGGTCCGACAAATAAGCTATATATGGTAGAATATATTCCAGACACTGAAGAGAGAGAGAGAGGGAAAAAAACAGGAAAAAAATATATATAAATATATAAACCGAAAAAAATGTCTACGAGCGCGTTCGTTTTTGAGTTGACGGATTGCAGAGAAGAAAATATTACGGGGCCCATCGATTCGCTCGCGCGCCTCGCGATGGCGAATGACTAAGGTGTCCATCGATTGCGATGATTCACGATGGTGGGGGCGGGGAGGGGGGGCGGTCGAATGGGTGACGTCCGATGGTCGAGGACCCCCCCTCACCCCCCTCGCCCCTCACCCCCCTCACCCCCCTCACCCCCCTCACCCCCCACCCCCCCCGCACGCGCGTGCGTTTATTTTCAAACGGCGATTTGTAGCAAAAAGTGTCCCCACTAGCGAAGGATCGCGTCGGGGCAACCCAACCCCCCACACACCCCCCTACACACCCCCCCCCCCCACACACCCCCACACACACACCCCAACACCCCCCCCCACTTCTTATCTCAGTCTTTCGGCGATTCTCAGTGCATGCGAAGTGATGATGAACATGACTGTGTCTGTGACTGCGTGTGTGTGTGTCACTGTGCGTGTGTCACTGTGCGTGTGCGTGCGGTGGTGTAGCGGTTAGCGCGCTGCGCTACGAAGCCTGGCAACTCGAGTTCGATTCCCGCTCGCGGCGAACACCGGTGACGATTATCTGAACCGGTCGTGGGCCTCCCCTAGGTCGACTCCGCCTCAAATGAGTGCCTGGTGCGATGCGTAAACATCGCCACTGGGGAGACAAAGGCGGCCGCGCGTGGTGTTGGCCATCCATCCCCCTCGTGTGCCGTGCGGCCATTTATAGGTGCTCGCTAACAGCACTTGCCCCTACAGTCTGTTAAGGCTATACGGGGGGGATCTTTGTCTTTTCTTTTGTGCGGGGTGCGTGCCTCGTGCCACTCGCTCTGTCCGCTTCCTCCTCCTCCTCAGCGCCCCTCGTCCCCAAACCGGTTCACACGCGGCGAGGGATGATGTCGAGTTCGATCGTAAAGACACACAAAAAAAGAAATATATTTTGTTATATCAAGACTTTGCCTCGGAGACATTTAGTGAACCGTGTAGCGGATTTCATTGTTCTCACCCCCCCCCCCCCCCGTTGATCCAAAAGTTGTTGAGGACGTGAAGAAAGATCTGTTCCAAAGTATGAAAACAAAAATAGGAAGAGTTTTTTTTTTAACCCTTTTCTGGCAATAAAACGGCTGTTAAGATGTTCAAACCACCCCTTTGCAAGGCATCGACATCTCAACGCGTGTTTTTATTGCCAAAAAGGGGTGTAAAAAAAATCTTCGCTTGTTCTTTTTTTATTTTCATACTTTTGATACTGGCAACAACAACAAAAAAAGTGTCCCTTTTTTCAAGATCGGGCCCTCCCCGCAGAGTTTGTGCGCGGCTGCCCCCCCCCCAACCGCTCCATTTGCCACCGGGACATGTTAACGCCGTGAACCCCGCTGCCTCAGTTCAATGCACTGGCTTTGCTTCCAAGCATTTATTACCACCACCACCACCGTTCCTCACCCTCCGCTCCGTACACTCCTCCTCCTGAAGACCGGTGGAAGAAAACATGTACCGTGCTAATCGGATGTGCGGGGGTTACGGACAACAAACTGAACACACGAAAAAACTAATTTCTTTAATTTGCAATCTAGATGATGAGTTAAGATTGCATCGTGTAGCTCCAGTGGCTTCCTAATATCGGGAAGGGAAGAACGTTCCAGACGGCCGCAGAAGCGCGTCTGAAAGCGTCGCGCGCTGCGGTGACCACCGTCTATGGTTCGGTCTGTCAGGGCCCCCCCTCCCAGCCTGCCCCCCCTCCCAGCCTGCTCCCCACCAGCCTGCCCCCCCCCCCACCAGTCTGCCCCCCACTGAAAATCGTGAATAGCCGCCACCATGATTGGTCAACAGAGACGTCCACTCTTGTACGTTGTGCAGGCCCGTGTGAGTGTACAACACTTTCAACGTTTTTGTTTTTTTGTGGGGTGACTCTATTTTTGTTTATTGATGTTGTCTGAATGTAAGATTCTAAGGACCAAAGAAACGGCGCGAGAGGGGGGCGGCTGTCGTTTCCCGCATGGGTTTTGTCTGGGGGGTTGGGAGGGGGGGTGCCGTTTGGGGGCTGGGGGCGGGGGGGGCCCATGTGTGTCTAATTTTGTTGTATACATATACTGTAAGTGCCTGATCACATGACCATTTCATTAAACTCCTCTTTTGGGTCCACTTTAACATCGCTTGTCTCTTTTATTGTTATTGGTATATTTTAAAAACGCGCGTTAACTCGAGCACAGGGCTCTGCAACCCCTCCCAAAAAGCGAGAAGAACCCACGTTTATTTCGAATTCTGTAATTAAAAAAATATATTTTATGGTTCTTTTCGGTAAAGCCACGTAGATCGAAAAAATAACGATAAAATAATAAAAATAAAGTGAATCAAAATATCACGGCGTTTCGATCGCAACACAGGCGGTCTGATGGCGACCGCTTGTGTTACGATCAAAACTCCGGGATATTTTTTTTTTATCATTTTATCATTATTTTTTCTATCTACGTGACTTTACAGAAAGAATCCCTGCAGTCACGAAAGTTTTAAGTCAAAATAAAAATATATAAAAAAAAAACACCCCTATTTCAAGAGCCCCGATGTGGTGGTGAATCTGTCTGGAGGGTGTCAATCTCTCCGGAGACGCGATTGACGGATGCCGTGGCTACTACGTACGGTGCGAAAGAAGTTGCACGTGTGTTCTCCTGTTCTTGCATGGCTTGTGCGGGTTTCCCCTGCCACGGCTAACGAAACGAAAATCAAACCAAGCAATGGAACCGGTGTTGGCCAAGCAGCCCAATGCAAATGGATCGATGAACATTACACACAACATCAACATCACCCCACCGGCCTGAAATCAAAACAACTGTGTAGGTACCTCCCGAAAACGAGTCTTGAGTCTCGGCGAGGCTTTCCTGGGAAAACAAGCACGAAGCTATTAATGACGATGAAATAATATTGTTCTGTTTATAAATCTTCGAAGTTGTGCCAGGATTTTCTCGAGGCTTTTTTGTCTGTGTGCGTGTGTGTGTATACACATGTGGGAAGCGGTAGTGTAGCGCTTAGCCTGCTGCGATATGAACCCCGAGACCCGGGTTTGATTCCCGCTCACGGCCAACACCAATGGCGATTATTATCTGAACCGGTCCTGGGCCTCCCCTAGGTCTACTCAGCCTCAAATGAGTACCCGGTGCGGTGTGTCAACGCCACTGGGGAGATAAAGGCCACCCACCCTCTCGTGTACCGTGCTCGCTAACAGCACTTAACCCCTAAAGTCTGTAAAGGCTACACGGGGGATCTTTGTCTTTGTTGCGTATGTCTGCCTCCACTTTTTCCAATTCCAGTCTGATTCCCTTCTACGGCAGAAATCTCTGGGCGGACAGATAAAATGAAAACCACATAGCGACTCGGCAACTGCTGCGGCGGTGGCGGAGGGCTGTGCCGTTGTGCAGCTGCGCACACGAAGAGCGTCCAAACGAATGCCACAGCCCAGAGCCGCGCTTTCGAGGTTGCTGGAGAAGAAGGGGCCAGAGGCAGAATGAGCGAGCGAGTGATCGGCGCGTGGCTCCTGGGGGACTCGACAGCTGGGGCCGTAATGATGCTTCGTGTGCAGTCGCCGGTCATCCGGCTTGTTCATCGTAGAGTTGGATTTGAAGTTTTCGTGACTGCAGGGATCCACGGCTTGTTCATTGTATAGTTGGATTTGAAGTTTTCGTGACTGCAGGGATCCACGGCTTGTTCATCGTAGAGTTGGATTTGAAGTTTTCGTGACTGCAGGGATCCACGGCTTGTTCATCGTAGAGTTGGGTTTGAAGTTTTCGTGACTGCAGAGATCCACGGCTTGTTCATCGTAGAGTTGGATTTGAAGTTTTCGTGACTGCAGGGATCCACGGCTTGTTCATCGTAGAGTTGGATTTGAAGTTTTCGTGACTGCAGAGATCCACGGCTTGTTCATCGTAGAGTTGGATTTGAAGTTTTCGTGACTGCAGAGATCCACGGCTTGTTCATTGTATAGTTGGATTTGAAGTTTTCGTGACTGCAGGGATCCACGGCTTGTTCATTGTATAGTTGGATTTGAAGTTTTCGTGACTGCAGGGATCCATACTCCTTGGTTCTTTCGGTGAAGACACGTGGGTAGAAAATAAATTAAATCACGACGTTTCGATCGCAACACAAGCAATCATCAGGTGGGGGAAAAATTTTTTTTGCTGTGGTTTTCCCACCTGATGATGATTGCTTGTGTTGCAATCGAAACGTCCTGATTTAATTTATTTTATTTTATACCTACGTGACTTTACCGACAGAACCAAAGAGCATCATATCGATTTTGTTGTTGTTGTTAGGTTCGATCGTGTAAATATAAATGTGCCGTTAAACCCGCCAGTACCCGACACAGCCAATTAGTAAGGTTTGTTACGTCAACAGGACGTGCCAATTCGTTGCTAGTTCAGCAACACCGGTTGTGCGTTGGGAGAGCAAATCCACAACATGTACAATCGGAGTACGACGTTTTGCCAAGTAATTACAACCGGCACCATCAGGCGGACAGCCAAGATTAGTGGAGAAATCCTCCCGTTTCGTTCCCTTTAATAGAGGGGTCGATGTGATGGCGTCACTTGTGAGCCCGACACGTGCGAAGGGGGGGGGGGGGTACGGGTTTAATGTATGGCATATAAATGACAATGGGCATCGATTACAATGGGTATCCACCCGGTTGTTCCCAATGCACGTACGTGCACATCCAGGCCTCGCTGTTCCAGGGCGGTGTTTCTCGTCGGTCGGCAACAAAAACCGGGACGAGCGGGCGATGCCAGATGCCGCCGCTTCGATGTTGAATCTCGGCAGACGGTAAGCCGCGCATCTCTTTATCAACGTTGTCATCTCATTGGGAGATTTGGGGAATTTAATGGGGAGGGCGGCGGGCGTGGGAGACGCGGGGCGGATCGCTCCATAAATAATCGCGGCTTCGGCCACCCACCCCCCCTACCGCCCATCACCACAGCACATCTACCGCTCCTCGCGTGCCAACCAACCCGTGGTAGCGGCGTCCGTCGGCTGGTAAGGCGGCTGGCAACTGGCGGTGGTGCCTCTGCGTCGGCGTAGTCGTAGCTGTCGCGACCATTGCCCCACAATGAGTTAGAGTCAACACGGACATTCATCGCGGATGCGGCCCGCCGCGCGCGTTAGTCCGCGAGTGTCGTGGTGTTTCGATTTAAAAGCTTTCGTGACTGCAGGGATTCATCTCCTTGGTTCTTTCGGTAAAGTCACGTAGAAGGGAAATAGTAAAATAATAAAAATAAAACATACTAAAATACAGGTCTGTCGGGAAGACAGCGTCTGAATGCTGTCTTTCCGACAGATCTGTTCTTCACCTGGGGACGGCTGCTTGCGTTGTGGCCGAAACGTCGTGAGAATTATTTTATAATGTTTTATTTTTATTATTTTATTATTTCCCTTCTACATGACTTTACCGAAATTACCAAGAAGATGCCGTGGTGTTGTTTAAGAAGAATTTCAGCGCCGTGGGCTTGTAGGGTTGTAAGGGGTTTAGATTGCTAGGGATGATGGGATAAATGCCCCCAACCCACCCCCCTTCTCCTGAACGGCAGTTGCTTCGAGGTAGATTTGCCACCTCCCGAGGTGTAATAACGCGGGGGGGGGGGGGGGTGGATGTTTTGACGGGAAGAAGTCAAAGTGAGGTCTGGGTGACTTCCGACTCAAATGAACATCGAGGCATCGGTGCTAATCTCTTGCTTACAGAGGCCGCAGAGCTCGCAACCGTGGCAATTCCACATGCCCATGGCAGGGGTGAGTCTCTCCCTTAGGACCATCTGCTGTTGACTTCCCCGGCAAAGTAGTGCTTAGTGTATCGACCCTACGAAGGAATGATGGGCTAAGTTACTTCAAAGTTGCATCTCTCTTGATTGCCAGCTGCTCGCTCTGCGATTGAAGCCACCTGGTCGAAAGAAATCCAATCTCCCAATTCGGGAAGAGAGGGAATCGTCATTAGTGAGCGGTGTTTTATAACTATGACTGTTATTATTTTACGCAACTGACAAACATCTGGACATTCAATGTCCCAGGACAGACTGAGACATTTCCTTGGACAGCAGCTGCCTCTTGGCAACACGAGAATCAGAATATGTTTACTGGAGGCGATCCGATTAGCTATTAAGCTCTTTTTCACAGTTATTCAGGAGGGGCAGGTAAGTATAGGAAAGGTAATTTTCGATTTAAAGCTTTCGTGACTGCAGGGATTAATCTTCTTGGTTCTTTCGGTAAAGTCACGTAGAAGCGAAATAACTAAATAAAAAAATATAAATTTAATTCAGACACTGTCTTTCCGACAGACCTGTTCTTCACCTGAGGATGGCTGCTTGCGTTGTGGCCGAAACGTCGTGAGAATTGTATTTTATTATGTTTTATTTTCATTATTTTGTTATTGCCCTTCTACGTGACTTTACCGAAAGAACCAAGAAGATATAGGAAATGTAATAAAATCACTTGAAAATTATATACAAATAAAACTAAACTATTTTTTATTTTACCATGTAAGGCCCACTAAGCTATATAGCTCTTTTTTTCAGAAGCCACCTCGCCGCAAATGACAGCTCATCATGTGGACATTTCTAGCGGCAAAATTTGCTGAATAAACTGGTCAACACACTTTTTCTGGCATAAAGTATTCTAACGGTTTTAAGGTAATTTTGGGGTGCTGATTCCAAATCTGGCATCAGTTTTTGTCTATCACATCAGGTTTTTGAGATATCAAATATTGCATTTTCAATAAAAACTGCAGGAGAAAAATATTAAATAAATGTGGATATCTACATAAAATGATATTATACACACACTATCCTAAAAATACAGCACCATATTTTAACACTAAAGCAGTCACTGACTCGCAACAACTTGCAATCATAAGTGACAGAGTTAATTTCGGGTAAAATAAATGAAAATGGGGTATGCCGATAGCATAAAAATGAGATGTGATAGAGCAAATCTGAGATCAGATTTGGAATCAGCACCCTGAAATTAGTCTAAAACAGCTGCAAAAGTCCAGGCCAGAA